TTAAGTTCATGGCCATACTGTGGAATATTCTAGGCACATCTGTATTACACCTGTATTACCACATGACATCACCAGGTGTAACAGAGTGTTTTCAGTTTGAGAGAAGAACTCAGCCTAAAAATGAAGGGTTGGTGTGAATGAAACAAAACACAACTCCAAGTATGCTTTTGACGAGGATACAGCATAATAACATAAATCAGAAAATCAGGTGGAGATTGCAAGGTATAATGCCATACTGCAGATAATTCTTGGCAATGCATTTCAACCTCCGTGTGGCATACCCTCCACCAGGAAAGTTACAAAGTACGATTTTAACCAATAACTTTTATCACTTTTAGCACACCCCAAGCCGAGTGGGCCCATGAGGTCAGTATCTATTTGATTTCTCTTTAAATTCCTGGAGCGCTACATCAGTCATACTAAAGTTGCATATCTTCAAGTCACTTTACTGAGCTCCCTGGATGTGGCCTGGAGCTGTGCTATTTCGGAACTCTTTATATCTCCCTGTGTAATGAGTCCATGTGAAAATGACTGTCCCACATCCAAACTCATTATCTCCCAAAGCAAACAGACGCGTGCCCGGCGCTGTCTCTGCGACCCCGTGTACGTGTCAGATTATGATCTTATGGAGTCAACCTTGTTTATTTGATTAATCTGACTGCATGTCTTGTATGGGGATTTGGGACAAGATGCAAATTAGGACGATGCATATAATTTAGCATCAGCCTGGCCTTCATTATGCAAATCAGAGTAAATGAGCCTGCTATAGCGTCGTAGATGTGTATAGATTAACACTGGTTTGAATAGTACTGTAATATCCACACTTTTTCCACCCCTTGTTGATAAACTTTTAAAAAATATATGAGTTATTTTTTTGTCTTTGTAACCCCTCAGTCGTCCAGGTAGGATCCATTGCAAAAGAAGATTGAATACTGTCAAATGAATAGAAGTTTTTAGAGCTCTTCCAAGTACTTTGGACAAGTTTGACTATATGGTTTAACACCCTAGGAAAGTTCAGTCAATACAAAACTAGGGTGTGTTTGTTCAAAGTGTTGGCTCCTCCCATCAGAGAGATAATTAAAGAATAAAATACACAAAATTGACTTTGAGCTTTAAGACATGTTACAATGTTGTTACCTCCTCAAAAACTGACCTGGAGTTGTGTTTTCTTTCATTCACACGTGTTTGAATAACCCTGCTTTATTAGTCGATCCGTGTATCCTTCTTTCGTTTGTTTTTCAAAATAAAAACAACAAAAAAAAAGAAAATTATTTGTCTCTAAATCCAAAATGAAAAAAAAAAAATTAAACTGCGACACCGGACTTTTGCGCTGTATACGGACTAAAACAGGAATAAACAACGACTTAAAACAGGTCTAAACTAGGTCTCAACCAGGTCTAAACCAGTCTCAGTCCTGGTCTAGTCCTGGTCTCAGTCATAAACCAGAACTGAACCAGGACTAAACCAGGACTGAACCAGGAATGTCGGGACGGGCCGGAGGTGTGCCCGTGTAAACTGTTGGGTGATCAGGACTGAGACCGGGACCAGACCAGGACTGAGACTGGATCTGAGACTGGTTTAGACCTGGTTTAGACCTGGTTTAGATCTGGTTTAGTCCTGGTTCAGTCTGTATGTGGCGCAAAAATCTGACATGGCAGTTTAAGTCAGGGAAATGGGCCATTATCCTTTTTTTCCCATTATTCATTTAGACACTGTTTTTTCATTTTCTTATATTTTGTTTTATTTTGAAAAACTAATGAATGAATGATACATGGATTTTTGTCTTCTATACTTCCAAAGCTCAAAATGCTGTGTTCCACCTTGTGATGTCATGAAGTGGTAGTTTTTCAGTTAGCAGCTACATTTTACCTTTAGTTAGGTAGAACTCACCTATTTCAGGGCTGAAATCATCCAAAAATGGTGTATGGGGTTTAAAAATACAGAAGAGCACTCGCTCTATTATCACATGACATCACAAGGTGGAACAGAGTGTTACAGTTGCCAGTTCACAAAACTATTGTGGCTAGAGTAGGTTTGCAGTTCCCATTCAGTGCATGCTGTTCTTTTGAAAAACACTCTCCATCACATTCACTTGCCAAGTTCTTCTATGAGGTATTTGCCAAGGTTATACCTGTAAATATAATGCATTTTCAGTGGTTTTACATTAGAAAAAGTACAGATTACAGAGCAAATAAACAAAAACAAAAAAAACAAACAAACAAAAAAAAATCCTCGAAAGTATTACATGAATAAAACTCAACTGAAAGTATAAAATACCAGTTTAAAAATGTACAGTATTTTGCACAGATTTTGAGATCTAACAAAACTTCAAATGTAGTGATGCTGATAAAGATTTGTATTTGAATTTTGTTCAATAGAAACAATTGAATATTTTTTTCCTAGCTGTTATTTGTCTGTTTTTGTTTGCTCAAACTATGAAAATAAACTCTCATCCTTTACAGCACGCCTCAAACTATAATAAAAAATACTTTTACTTTCCAGTCCTGATCTCAAATGTAGTGACATAAAAGTAAAAAGTATTCACTTTAAAGTCTACTAAAAGGTGCATTGTGTAACTTTTCTTGTGGAGGGTCCATCAAATACTTTTCTCCATGGAGACATTATTGCTTTGTCTGGAATGTTTCACAATATGGCATTAAACCTTTCTATCATTGTGGAGACCAAACCAGACCAAGTTACAGGTCACATCTGTGGAGAAGCAACCCCACTCACAGTCAGAATGCCTGTTTTTCTAGGTATTTTTGAGCAATAAAACCACCTGTAATTTAATAAATATAGGGTAGAGCTGTTTAAAGCTGTACTGTGGAACCTTGACATAGCCGTACAAACAAGCAGGTGATGGACCCTCAACCAAAAAGTTACGTAGTGCACCTTTAAGTACAGTACTTTACCACTTCATTACATTCCACCACTGTAGTTTTTTGATATTTGTTGCAGAAAAATAAAATAAAATCACAAAATGTTCTTACTTCAACAATTTTTCAATGATTTATTAATTCAGATTTTGGACACAGTTAGTTTTTTCTTGAATAAGCAGCTGAAAGAAAGAGAGTGAGAGTGTATTGGAGCAGAGAGAGAAACTGTAGATGCAAGTTTCTCCATTGGGAAAGTGTCTCTGTCGTACTCAGAACATCGATCGGTCTAAGGGTTAAAAGCCCCCCTGGCGTCCCCTCACAAACCCACTACAGCCTGCAGGACAATACACATTATTTTACTCCCTCGCTGCTTTTGTTTTCTGACAAATCCATCTAGATTATAACTCGAATATTGACTGTCTAATCTGTGGCGTTAATCTTCGGATCATAATCCTGGGTGTATTCCATGTCTGGATCTGCAATTATTAATGCTTCATGCACTCGACTCAATTCCCCAACCCCATTCATGTTTTTCTTTTGTTTTCAAGAAGCAACCAATCAAAACAATGACTAGAAACAAAACTGTTTTCACAAGAGTCTCACCTCAATTGAGTTTATTATTATTCACGCAGTCCTTTGCCTCGGTGCCGTGTGCAGAGTATAGCAGTGAGGATTGTGGGTAATAATGATATTGTTGTATAAATGCTGTATTGATCTGGGAGGTAGTGCCACTCTGCTTTGTGCTATAGAAAACATCAAAAGAAACACTTTATTTTCTTGTGAGACTCTAGACTGAAGGTGACTCCGGGCACTTATGGAGATATGTAATGGTGACATCTTAACATGAACAGAAGAGAGACTCTCAACTTTGTAAATGTACATAATTCGAACTGTTTGATGGTGCACTGTGCACCCTTTCCAATGGGAGCTCTGCCACCAACTTGTCTCCATGGAGATGTAATTGTTTTACCTACAATGTTGCCTAGTGTGGCAATAAAGTAGTTTTACTGGTGTTTATTCTAATGTAATACTTATAAACATACATTCTGTGTGTATTCTTCTTTCTGTATTCTGTATGAGCGGTTTGCCTCTCCACAGATCCAACCTGTAACTTGGCCTGGTGGCAGCGTCTGCTTTTCTCCATGGAAAACCATACTGTGTAGCATTTTAGAAAAGGCAAGAAACATATAGGCTACTAACTGTGGAGAAGCACATGGTGGATCTTCCAGCGTCCAGCGGAACCATGCATGATCTCCTCTTGTTATCATGTAAGACATTCAAATTGTAGCACTTGTTTTCAGACCCTGAGTAGCCAACACTTTTGACAGAAAAATGGAAATGGGAAGTACAATCAGAATGTCCTTAAAGTACCCATAATTTGACTGTGCAAATACCGAATCCAGAACTATGACCCAGAGCAAAGTCTGAATCATGATTGTGACGGACAGAACCCCACCTCTATGCCACTGCCCGTAAAATAAGACCTGATTTTATTCATTGCACTTTTCTTGATTTAATCAGACCATTTGTAGAGCTATTATTACAGGGCACAAGGACCAATTTCCATTGTTGGCCGCAGAGCCTGGAAGAATTTTCAGATTCCTCCCTCAGTATTTGGTCATGGATAAATTTTAATCATAAAAAGAATGAAATGTTAAAGAAGTAAAAGATGAAGGTCTCTTTAGATTACATTGTTCTGTATTGATCTGTATAATTAACTAAAGCTACTTCAAGTAGGTAGTGCCTGCTCAGGGGTCCCCCAGACCGGTGAAGGTAAAGCAGATCCTCTTGTGAACAATGCTCCCTTTAAGCTGCGGGCCACCCTGCTGTATACGACATGCTCATTTGGCTGTGCGCTCCCATAAAAGAGCTCCGGTGTACCGGGTCAGACCCCAGGTTGGGAAGCACTTTGCCCCAAACTTCACCAACACAATGAACGTGTCTTAATCAAGCGGTGTAATAGCTGCTAGGGGCCCCTGGACTCAGCCGGGGCCCTTGTTCGCAAAGGCTAATGGGCGGAGACCTGCTTTTTGAAATCCTCGCGGGTCCCTGCTGCGGTGCGTGCTGCAGAAGTGGGCTGGGGGCGCGCGCACGCACACATCATTTCCAGTGGAGATTGGCACAGAGACGCAGCGCCACGACCCCACTGCGTTGCGAAACCCCTGCCTAGTGCTGAGAAACTTCCGCGCGGAGAGACACAGCGCGAAGAGACGCATGTAGTCCGTCCCACAGATAGCGGATTAAATTCACGCTTTTCTTTTCTTTTTTTCTTCTTCCTCCTCCTCTTCGTGCTGGTTTCGTGTTACAAAGCCTTGGGAGGGAGTTGCGCGGAGAGCCAGTCCCTGTGTGTAGTAAGTGAATGACATGATCATATGGCTCGCATCGCCTCGTAGTCTGAAAATACGTAAAGGAAGACACGAGGAGAGAAAGCTTGGACTAGTTTGTTTTGAGACGCGCTGATGACGATGTGGAATTATATCTGAGTCTATTTCTCAAACAAAAGCCCAGATAGGGGAGCGAGAAGAGGAAGGATAGTGGATCTTTCACGAAAGAGAGAGAAAAGGAGACGGAGAGACGCGCAGGACGCATTGGCTTCAATCACCAACATCATCTGCGTGATAACAAGGTAAGTTTGCGCTCGTTATTTGTTGTACCGCTCTGTTGCTTGAGACAAAGTGAACGAAAGGAGAGCTCACGGGGAGACAGCTTTATCCTGCGTCCGGCACGGGGTCTGTCTCCAACTGTTGCCACGATAAAGCCCAGTATTTTAACAATTTTGCGTGTCTTTTTGGGGGGTAATTTCCACTCGCTTTTGGAAACGTTATTCGGGTGTCGTGGCTTCTGGATCCAAAGCTGCATGTGGTGCAACTTTCGCGCAGTGTAAACACAAGCGCACTGCGGGCTGGAAGAGACTCAACTCAGACTGGTGCGTTTTCAAATCACTGCTGTTTCCTGTCATCAGTGCTGTATAGAAAGCTCCGGATTTAAACTCCAAACTGCAGATATACGGAATCTCCTGCGACGGCTCTGAAATGTCCTTTCCGTGAAATTACTCCCCAAATCTTTAGTCTTAATCTGCTGTCAAAAGTGGGCAAATATAGCCTACATAATCACGTGTTATTTAAGTATTTTGACAATAAAAAACACTAAAGTACTGTCTACTTTTTAGCCTGTACTTCAGCGAGTATTTTCATTCAGTGCGCGCAAAATGACAACAATGAACTTGCAGAAAGTAGCACTGAGTCAGGCGTCCTCTATTGTCAGTGTGTAACAGATCAGCAATAAATACACGTTTAAATCTCCAAAACGCACTGTACTCTTATAGTGTGGTATTTTTTGACTCATTTCCTTACCATTGCACGTCATATAATACAACAGAAATCTAGTTAATCATTTAGTTTATACAGTTTCAAGAAAATTGTAGTCAAATTTAAGGATATGTGAGAAATTTGATGCTTCAATTATTCACAAAGAAACAGAAATTAGTACTACAACGTCCAAACTTGGCTTACTTTGCAAAATTTATTCTACCCCCATTAAAAGGCATCACTATCTTTAGGACTACCTTAAACTGCTATTTCGCCTCTCGACTTTTTTGGCCCATAATGAAGTAAGTATTAGCCTCAGTTGAGTGATTATTGTAATTACTGGCTGGGAGGGGAAGTGGGTTCGCTGGACACTGAATGGGGCTTGTTTAAAAGGTAGCTATAGCTTGAAAATGACTCAAAAGCCGTGTGTGTGTGTATGTGTGTGTGTTTTCTTCTTTCATTTTACAAGCCCAATGGTGCCAGAGCCAGTTAACAATCAGACGGTGCAGGGGTCTGTGGAAAAAAAGTGTAAAATGTTTCGAAGGGTGTTAGGAGGAGAAGTTAGTGGAGTTATTGGCGTGTGGGAGGGAGGGACAGTGCAGTATTGTGCCGTCGGATGTGTACTCCTCTGGGATATTTGTCTCGTATATAAAGTTTTTCATGAGACGGGTGCTCTGTTCGGTGCATGTCGCGGTGTGTTAGTGTCACCGGGGTGATTAATGGGAGTAATATACACCGTAAAACCCATGGGTGCCTCTTATGAAAAGAAGTTATTTTCAATTTCTGCCAAAGAGATCTATCATAAAACTTTAAATTTTGAGTTAGAATTTGATTAATATAAATTTCTTTTTTATTATTAAACTGCACTTGTCTGTGTCATCTGTCCTGCCACTGTCCCAGGTTGACCCTAGGCTTATTGTGCTTCAGAAAGCTACGATCCCAAAGAGAAAAAAGTGATGATTTATTTTACAACGAATGTCCTAATTTGCTGATAATTTGGCAGATATTTTCAGGGTAATTTGAAAATGTAGCCGACTGAGCAAAGTGAGTGTGGGCGATCTTTTCATAGAATCTGTTTTGTCATTTAAAGGATCCATATGACACTATTTTCTCATCTATTATAAAGTTTTCTCATAAAAAACTGACCTGGAGTTGTGTTTTTACACCTTGTGATGTCACGTGGTAATACAGAAAGTGCTCCACTGTGTTTTTAAACTCCATATACCTTCATTTCAGTCCTGGAACTACCTCTCTCTACGTAACTAAACGCGGCTGTTAACTTGAAAACTAACACTACATGACATCACAAGGTGGAACAAAGCATTTAGAGGTTTGGAGATGTAGACAGACTAATCACAAAGCATTACTCAAACGTGTGTGGATGAAACAAAAAACAATTCCGAAGTGCTTTTAATGAGGTCGCAACATTATAACATGGCTTAAAAGCTCACAAGAGTAAATTTTTTCACAATTTTACAAAATTTTGCACCTTTTGTTCAGGCTTAAGATACTAGGGGTGTAATGATATCCAAGTCTTGCGATACGATATAGTCACGGTATGAACCTCACGGTATGATATTTATTGCGATATTGTGGGGAGGCTCACGATGTAAATATATCCAAATCTCTCGGTACGATATTTTCACGATATACATCTCGTGGTATGGTATTTATTGCGATATTTTGTGGAAGCTAACAAAACTGTGAATATGCTACTTTTTCTTCTTGTCTTAATCCAAAGAACTAAGACTTAAAAGTGCTTAGAACTGTTATTTCTATTATCTATTATAGTCTACACTCAAATAGAGCAAAGGATCATGGTCTATGTAGTTCTCCCGTTCTTTTTTATTAGCTAATGCTGCACCATAACTCTTAATTTAAGCAAAGACACTTGTAATTCGATATATTGTTATTGTCCATGATATTATTGTGAGAACTTTGATGATGCGATATCACGATATTTCGGTTATTGTTACATCCCTAGTGGATACCGTATAACTGCATTAAGAAATAATGAATTAAAAAATAATTGTCACCCCAGATTCCACCAATTTACACATTTTCAAACATGAATTCTCTATAAATCCCTATCTTCTATCATTATATTAACAAGAGTGACATTTCCTTTTATTATAAGATTTGCAGTGGAATTACACAGCTCAAATTAACTTAACATTTAATTTGCTGACTCAAGCCGTACGCACCTTAATACCATTTAAAAGAGCCCAAATCCTATTACAACTATGAAGACGTGCAGGAGTCTTGCGCGGGACACTTGGTACATAGACCCGAATAGACATATAGAGGCCATGTCCCAGATGTTAATGTCTTCATTGAGAATGCCACAGGACGCCTTCCTTTTGTGCCACACACAATAGAGTCCACATCCTGACAAGCTCCGTCCGGTTCTCCCCCCTCGTGCAATTAAACCTACACACTGTCCCATTACACACAGACCAACCACTGTCTGATACTGGGAAGTTACACAATCAAGAGTAGAAGTATTGTTGAGGTAATGTGACAAGTAGTGATTGTAATATTAGTAAATAAAGCTGTTCTGAATGAGATATGTTTAACTTAAAGGTTCAATGTGTGTAACTGGTCTGGTGGAGGATCATCACCTGCTTGTCTCCATGGAGATATGCCGAGAATGTTCCACAATATATCCATAAATTTATGAATCACCATGGAGACATGCAAGCCAAGCTACAGGTTAGATTTGTGGAGGGTGACCCCCCCACTCACAGTAAAAATGTATGTTTTCTAAGATTCTTTGAGCAATAAATATCACCTATAGTTAGATAAATGCAAGACAGATTAGTTTAATACCGTACTGTGGACAATTTAAACCAAACCTCATTAACATCTCCATGGAGACAAACAAGCTGCAGACCCTCTCCAGGAAAGTTACACAGTGCACTTTTAATTAGGGCTAAGGGAATAATATATTAGCCTGATTCATCAGCCGGTTTCATTTTGTGGAAACCGCCTGACCTCGCAGCATTAGGATTCATTCGCTCTATGGTAGGCAGAAACTTTTTTAATTTAACCAATCACTGCTATTTGGTCTTGACGTATGTAATCCGCCGGAACTCTCAGTGGTGTCCAAGTAGTTTTCGGTACAACAGCAAACAAAGCAGAGAGTGAAAATCCTCGATCTCGGGAACTGTTGCCAACACAAAATGTATGACTTCGCCTACATCCATCTCGACCACTTTGTTTACTGTTGTTCTGTACCACAAAAAGGGACCCAGTCATGGCTTCACAGCTCTTCGCTGATTGGCCGGTGCACAGTCTACAATGTCTGGGGTTCTTGCAAACCATCTAGTGTATTCTTGATTCGGGACCTAGTCGCTGGAGAGAAATGAAATTAAGCAGAGGCACTAGGTGGCGCCAGCCTGGCTAATAATATATGGCATTGGGATTAGATTTGCAATTTATGTTTTAATAACAGGATTCTGCTCAAAGTTCACACTTCAAATGTGTCTTGAAGAATTGAAGATTGAAATATTAACTGATAAACTATGTATTTCAGAGCATGTTACAGATCTAGGCTGCAGGGTTAGTTTTTATGCAGAATAAGAGAATATTATGTATGTTGTTTATGGAGGAAATTATGGTACTTCAAAAATGGCAGCCTTTGCTATTTGCGAATTCAGTAGATTGCGATTTTGATTCGACTGTGACTAATATTATAGCCCTAAAGTGAACACTGTTTTACATAAATGCACTTGACATTACAAATAAACTGCTGTAATCTGTGTGCATTAAGTTCTTCAGCGCTTCTTATAGAAATAGAGACAGCGGTTCTGATTTGTATAGCTGTGTTTACTCTGCAAAATTATGCTAATATGAGCCACTGTTGTAAAAAAAAGTGTAAAATCATTTTTCTTTTCACACCACCTAAATTGCTGGAAATGAGAAAGTTGTGAAACACGAGAAGTACAGCTGTGACAACCTGTTAATTAAACAGTGCGGAACATTATTCACATGATTTGCATAGTCAACATTTAGTTTGTTGGAGTGCACTATAGAATTGTACAGTGTTGGCAAGGCTGCATCCGTCACTAGAACAAGAGCCATTTTTAGCTACAGGAAATGCTCACATGGGCCCATATCAACAAAAGGGGCTACAGTGAAATGTTTTACCACATCTGAACAGCAGAAATGTTGACCACTATCCTATTTTATTAAGTATACATTTTATTTACTTCTTTTTTAATGCTATGTTAATTACACTTTTAATAGCCTTTGTAAAACATGAACAAAACCTAAACCTACTTCAGAATAATTTGAATAATAAGAATGATTTAAACTT